AAAGGAGTATCTGTATCAGACTGACACTAATAGACCAGCGAGAACTTCCTCTTTAGCTACGAATTCACACCTTTTGTGCAAAGAGGGAAGTAACGGTTGTTTTTTTTCAAATTACTGTTTTCTCAAACTTTAAACGTCATTGACTATAACCTGTGTGAGTGTCTCAGTTTGATATAAAGTGACGGCTTGTGAGTTAAAGTGTGTGTTTGGACCTTTGCTGAGCACATATAGGAACACAGGAATAAACCCAAACAGCCTCTGACAACCAGGAAGAGCTGCTCACTGAGTCAGAGGAGGAGCCCGACGCCTTCCTCTGGCCCACACCTCACTTCCTCTTTCTGCCGTGTTTGCTGAAACGGGGAGCTGGTTCTGTAGAAGTGGAGCGGGAGGAAATGGCTGCTCTGAGGTCTCTGAGCTTCTGCCTGCTGGCTGTGGGCCTCCTGCTGCCGGCTCCTGCTTCCACAGGTGAGTTTACCTGCAGCTACCTGTAAAAACACTCTGCAGCTGCTTCACTTCCTGCTGGAAACTCTCCGTTTGTTTGTAGCTGATCAGAGTTTGTTGGAAACGTGTTTCTGTTTGGGCTCAGACTGAATATCCAGAGGATCTGAGCCTCTGAGGTCCAGGTCAGATCAGGGGGGGGGGGGTTCTGGTGTGTCCTCCTCTGGTTCTGCTGTGGAGGTGCAGAGCTCCACTCTGAGCTCTTTAACCTCTCTGCTCTGTGTTGTTTCCTCTCTGCAGTACAGAGAATCACAGCTGAAGCTGGACAGGACTCAGTCATTCTGCCATGTAGAGCTGGAAAGGAGACCCAGATCAGAATTGTGGGGTGGAGCAGAGATGATCTGAGTCCAGATATTGTTCTTTACTACAGAAGTGGTCAGATTGACTCAGACCGCCAGCATCCATCCTTCAGGAACCGGGTGGATCTGCAGGACAGACAGATGAAGGATGGAAACGCGTCTCTGATTCTGAAGAACGTGAAGATAAATGATAATGGAATATATAAGTGTGTAGTCTATCCGGGAAGACGATATCGGGAGTTAATCTCCATCATCCATCTTGTGGTTTCTCTTCCTCCTCCAGGTGAGTGTGTGTGTGTGTGTGTGTGTGTGTGTGTGTGTGTGTGTGTGTGTGTGTGTGTGTGTGTGTGTGAGAGCTGCAGCAGCTTCCTGCTTGTTGATATGAGAGGGAAACATCTCAGATCAGATGTTTGGGTCAAAACCAAAGAGCTGACCTGGTTAAACTTCCTGTGGTCTGTCAGCTGGAGAGCGACTCTTTACCCACCGGCTGTCTCAGCCAATCAGAAAGCAGAACGAACGCATGCCCTTCTTTAAAACATGTCAAATTTCCTTTTTGTCCCCACTTGTAGCCCCAACCACCTCTGAAGCCCCAACCACCTCAGAAGCCCCGCCCACCTCTGAAGCCCCGCCCCCTGACTCCTCCCCCC